TTCACAAAATTACGAAAATTTACAATTCTGCGTAGTCTTGCTAACATTTAGTTTCCTTACAATATTGAAAAAAAAAACATTTTATATTTATAAAGTTTTACAAATATGCATATGTTAATATTACTATCACAGTGTAACTTACTTGAATCGGGAACTTGCTTATTATACTGTGAAATTGCACCACAACAACTGATGCGACCATATTTTCTCATATGTTTACGTACAACTTCTGAGAACTTGCCTCCAACCTAGAAAACGAAATTACATTGAAATACGTCCTAGCGCAAATACAACGGGATAAAGCGGCCAATACGAAACATTAATGATAACGTACATTCTTTTCCCACACCCTAATGAATTTTATATACGTTATATAAGTCACATGGGTTCCATATCAAATACAACGCTCGGCGACCACCACTGACTTTTTACATGACGTGAACTGAATTCACTCTACTTACGTTGTCGAAATATATATCGACTCCGTTAGGAGCGGCCAACTTCAACGTTTCGTCTAAATCTATTGTTTTATAGTTGAAAGCTTCGTCAAATCCAAGATCTTTTAAATATTTCACTTTGTTATCCGAACCTGCAAATCCAATAACTCGACATCCCTTCAAAAAAAACAGAACCAGGAATAGTTTATCTATGACATGAACAAGAAAAATCTCAAAAACCTCTGAGCGGATTTCAATGAAATTTAGCACATAGGTATCTCGTGGAATGTGCATAAGGCCATGTCCATTCTTATTTAGTAGCTAATTTGCATGTTAATTATCTCATTCAGTTTGTTCAGACAAAATGTCAAAAACTTCTGAGCGGATTATAACCAAATTAAGTATATGTGTACTTTCGGGTAATACAAAGACATGGTTATTTTTAGGACTATTTTCGTGCATATTAAGTAGCTCATTTGCATATTAATTATCTCGTTTCAGCATGTGTACGAAAAATGTCAAACAATTCTGAGCTTCCTAGATATGTTTTTATAAAACAACAATGGTTTTGAGTTATTTTATATACACGGGTGCTTTGCAGACTTCAAATCGGATTTGTGTTATTTTGTAGAAAACGTGAGAGATTCCATTTTAATATGACTACCTTAATTTTTGCTATCTGCCCAACAATACTTCCCACAGCTCCGGCTGCACCATTCACCACAACCGTCTCACCCTCCTTTGGTGTACAGATATCGATAAATCCGAAGTATGACGTCATTCTGAAATATATTCCGGCATAATGTAATTCTTCAAAATAAATATAAAATACGTGAATGTGTTTCAATACAATTACGTGTGAATTGTACTCACCCTACCATGCCAAGGATTCCCATAGCTTTACATAGTGGGATCTGTGCAGGGTAATGTTCTAGTTGACTCTCTATATCATCCTGACCACCACGGGATATGGTATGACTCCGCCATCCGACCTTATTCGTTGTTAATACGTGTGACCCGGTTGCATAGTTAGTGTTTCTGCTTTGTATCACCCTGTAAAAATAAGTACAGTAACTATTATATCTTTACAAATAAACAAAGTGTGACACAGCCAATTACATTGATTTTTAATATACAGTTATTATATAATGTAAATTAACCTAGCCTGGTGTGTTCGTATTATGTTAGATTATTCGTTTTTTTTTTTTTTTTTGCTGTTTTTTTTTTTTTTTTACAATAGCGATGTCGTGAATGTCATTATTTTCCAGGCATTCCTTTCACTTATTTACTATGTCACGGACATTTCACCTTATTACTAGATCAGGTTCATTCACTAAAAATTACAAGAATCTTGCATTCTACACAAACATACAAGTATACCGTATTTCATCTATTAGATGCGTATGCGCTTACGTAATTGGCACATTGGCGCTTCTATTGGAAGTCAAATGTATTGTATTTAAATAACTGAATGTTATTGTTTGTTTTTGTTTGTACTTTACTTTATGGTGTTCCCTTTACGCATGCGTTTAAACCTGATATTAAAATTAAAATAAAGACCAAGAAATATGTTTGTTGGTGGAGAGAAGTATGTGTGTCTCTTCTTGCAAACGAACATCAGGTGACTCGTGTCAGGTGACCTTTCCATGGCACTCTGTAAATTATCTTCCAGTGAAAAATGTATTTCTGTATATTTATGTAATTTTTAAGTTTCAATAGGCAATTTACTCTGGCATTAAAAGACGTTTAAAACATGTGACCTCATTTCTGTGTGCATTGTTCATTTCAGTTGACCTTGTTTAAGTTATATTACAGTCATTACAATGGAAGATTTCTTTTCACTGCTCAATTCATAAACTTAGTAAATAAATAGAAATAAGCAATATTTTTGGGTTAAATGCGTTTCTATTGGAGATGCGCTACTAATGGAGGAAATACACCATACACCTAATCTGGGAACAGTCAGCCAATACTGGTAGATAGTGTAAGATTTTAACATTTAGTGGGAAGTTTGTCACACTAAGACAAGGGAAATATGTAATAGTCTTTACACATTTACACATTTAAACCACATTTTGAAGAACTTAAGTTTATATTATTTATGAACGTGTATTTGTCTCATGTAAGGAGATGATATGCACACACTAGAACGTAGTGCTAGCATCCAATTATGGATAATTACTTTATCTGGTGTTATAGTATTTTGTTTCTTACTTTGCAAGTTGTTGTCCTAACATAACGTCACCTTCTTTCAAAAGACGTCTGCTGTACGGCCTACAATTAAACACGTGAAAAGTGATTTAATTAAGCAAAACTTATTTTCTCTGTGATGATAGTGGTTTCAGATTTTGTGAAATCAGACAATTTCTAAGTAATTACATTACAACTATAAAGGGTTTCTCGTCACAGCCACGTATTGTTTTTAATGATCGATAGCTCATCCATCAACAAATCCATTAAAACAAATCTAAAATAAGTTTGAATCGAGACACATTTGTGTTAATTTGCTCACCTCATATAGGGATCAACAGACAGGTAGATTGCCTCCAGCAAAAATTCTATGAAATAATAATAAAATTATTAAAATGACATCATCATGCATCTGCATCAGTTGAACGTTATAATCTATTTCATGAAACGAAAATGTCAATTCACTGTACATAAAAACAATTTGCTAACCGTGCTAATATCGCATTACAACTTCTAATATATGAACTCCAAAGTTCGTCCGGTTAAAGATATGAAGCCTCTTTTGATGGCAACATATATATCATTGAACTGTCAGTGTGTCAATTATTCAGGTAGCGAGGGACTAAAGTCCACACGGTGCGGACGCTACAGACTATGAATGCAATGTAGACTTGTCTTAAAATATATGCATCCGACATTAATCATGACTTGGAAACCCATCCTGCATACTGCCTGGGTCTGAATGTTGTTATATAAAAGGTTAATTCGTTCAATTTCAAAGTTATTGACTGGGAGGTGTCACATGGTGCGACATGTTACCTCCACGTGACCTTGTTAACACGAGTGCGATTTTATATAGAACCCATGCAGTAATCAACTCAATCACTTACGCCCATCTTGTAACTCAGGTAGTTCCTCCTCAAGAAGCTTCAGATCACTGTTCTTGGGAAACCCGTCAAAATGTTTTGCTAAAATGAATTTCTTTGCCTTCACCATTCTGAACGTTGTGCTAGTAGCAGGGTAAGTAGCTCGTGTACCAATGTACTATGACAGTTGCAGATTAATGGTGAATCATTCACTCTGTTGATCATTCACAAAAAGTGATTTATCATCATGATTATGTTACTTTTTTCGTAACCAAGATAACATGTTTCTGAGGTCTAGATTTATCATTCGCGCGTAAATAACTATTGCCTTATATGAAAAGGCTAAGTGGTTCCCATAACTCAAGTAAACTTTTGACAACAGCGTTCACGACACAGCGTGGCATTTTCATTATTCTCTGAATTCAATCGCTAACTCTCCAATTTTAGCGTTCATCCATATGTTTTGTCATATGGTTATATGAGTACTGATAACACATTGTTTAAATATGTAATCATTGAAGTTTGGCAGCAGCAGAACACTTACTGTTATCCAGCCACTTTAACCCTTATATCAGCTCATTTTTTGAACCAACACAACATGTTGAACCTACATTTTCATATATATAAGCAAATCAAACATTTATAAATATTTAAAAAAGATCTACCCTGAAATTACAAAAACTGAAATTTTGCTATGCTTCTTGGGTAAAATCCAGGGTAGATTAAGCCCTGGTTTGTTTGATTACAATCTAGATGTCTGCTGCATTAAGACCAAACGTAAACGACAAACATCCAAAACAGACTTTTGACATTTTTTCCCATTGCATTCAATATACACAAGCCACAAATTGCTCTCTGTATTGTTGTTATTTAATAATTTATATTGGTACCTTGCAAATATGATTCGTAAATTTTCACCTAAGATTATTCAACTTAAACAACGCCGGTAGAATAGACAAAAGGCAAAACATTAGAGACAAACACATCTCAAAAGCACAACAAAACAATGAAAAACACAGGAATACATTGAGAGAAAGGTAAAGGAAATATTGTACTTCATATATAGCATTTTGGTGTGTTATTTGTGCGTTTAGGAGTTGGATGGGAGACGATAATGTTTTTTTGAAAAACATGTTCCCAAAATTATTGACAGCAGAAAGGAAAACATTTCCCAGCATGCATTGCAGATTATACATTTTACAGTTTGTTTGTGATGAAACAAACATTTCTATGCATTTTGCATTGAAAAGTGATTTGAAAACAATGGCTACAGTGTTTACCAGTATTGTTAATCTTTAAAGTCACAGTACGCATTTATGTATGCTTTGTATATAACTACAGAGGAAAAATAAGCAGGGTCTTCAGACTTGGTAAAATGTGCTCTCCATGTGACTGAAAATACCTAGGCGCATTTCCTAGATCAAGATGACATTGATTTATATTATGTATTTCCAGTTTCCAACTACAAGGGAGAAAAGCTCGGAGCTTCAAACTTGGGCTTATATTTCTCTTGTAAGCCCCAGGACACGACAAATTTCAAGGAAAAAAGGTTTATGTGTATTGCACTATGTGATATAACTACAAAATATAATTTGAGGTCAAGGTCACGATGTGAGTTCGTGTGTTTAGTATATAACAGGTCCTTAAGACAATGCGTATTTGGGTCAAAGGTCATGATTACAGTTTGTGTTTATGTAAGTGTGGGAAAAAATAAGGGTACGAGAAATGTTTGGATTACTAATCTCGACATACGTGGCGCTAAGGTATATACAGTAGCATTATATGTCATTTTGCAGTTGTTGGCATATATTTTATATATTTTCCTCATGTTGGGGGGGGGCACACTTTCTTATAAGTACCATACATTTGGTCTCAATGCAGTCTGTGATTATATTACACAATGATATATCGACAGATTTATTATTGATAGTGGCTGGCATTATCCAAGACAAGACTCCTCGAACTATTTGAAACATTTGATTTCAACCTCGCTGTTACAATTCATCTAATAAGAATTTTGTTCTGGGGAAGCTGTCTCAACGCAGATATGAAATATATATGAATAATTTAATTCATTTCAATGGAAAATTGTATTATACATTCTGGAACTGTGAGTGATGTCTAATGAGAACGTTCTTCTTACATTCACATCAGTCGTCAGTGCTATTCTTAATCAGTGGGATCGTTATGTCAGTCACCACAATGATTCTTTTGACACCAAGTACTGCAGTGCTAGTAATTTATCAGATTTGTTTGTTTGTCTTGTAATCTCAAAACAATACATTGTTTCTTTCAAAGATTCTAGGTTAAATGCTTTCTAAAATTACATAGGTTCAATATGTTTCGGCCGTTATTGGTTCATCTACAGGCATCAACGTTTCCTTAATACATGTTCTCGGTAAAGATCTCATATTAACGTTCACATGTTATAGAGAAATCTCATACATATCTCAACGCAAAGATACACGAGTGTCAGTTATGTGAACCGAAATGACTTCAGTTAATTTAGTTATATATGGCCACATGTGAAGCAGAATGCGTTCACTCTTTTAGAAACACCTGACATATCACTTCACGTATACCATTGAGTCTTTCTTTTTCTTGCTAATTTGACTATGTAGTGTTGTATGCATGTCAGTTTTTTGTATTTTACTCATGTGGATTTTTTTGACAGTTGTCAAATCATTTGTTTTGTTTTGTTGGACACTTAAGGAAACAAGACAATGTTTACACAGACTGACCGCTCTCAGCATTGGTCTACTAAATGATAACTAACCGCTATACTATAACTCAGGTAGTTCCTTCTCGATGAGCATCAGGTCGCCTTTTTTGAGAAACCCGTCAAAACCAGTTTTACCATCGCCGACTTATGTGGAACGTCAGTTTGTTGCGCGCGGAGACTTGATCCTAATACAGGCTTGATATTATACCAGAAGTGAAGTCATTGGATGTCAACTTAATCTCACACCGTATCCTCATTTGTTTTGAGGGCCTGGTGGTAAAACACGAAACAAAGTTTGTCAGGCGAGAGTAACAGTTCATTTGTTTTATCACGATTTAAAAAATGTTTTGACAACACTTTTCACACAACATTCGTGGACCACATCAAATATTCGTGTGCGGAGGTTAAATAGTATCTTTTGTATTATGTGTTTTGGAACTTTCCAAATGCTTGGCAAATAAGTGAATTACCTTATATCGTACTCGATTGTTCACTGTATATATTATTTTCACGCTTTTATCTCACGAGTGAAAACTATAAATTATATTTCGCGACCGATTACAGGCTTTTGCGGCAACATATATAACCCATTCTATAATATAGTATATTCACTTGAAATTACAATAATTGTCTATTTTCACCTCGTATGAAATTTGTTTTTTTCTCTTCACCCACAATGTATACGACGTAGCGGCCGACTACGCGATATACTACCACGAATCGTGCAATGGAAATAAGGACCACATAACCTATTGGGATTTGGGCGTGATTTCCACGTCAGTCGCAGTTTGGTAGAGGGCGCCATCTTCGTTCTGCTTTTCTTGTCTCCGGTTCCAGTCTTGCGGCCTAATCCTTACCGTAATAGATATGATTATTCACAAGGTTAAATATATGAGTATGCTACAAAAAAACGAGAAAAGTCTGTGTTGTGTTGTAAATATTCTAACAGTGTTTAGAAAATAACAAGCACGCTGATAGTGTATTGTCTGTTCGAAGCTTTATAGGGGTCACCAACAGTGATAGGGGTTGGACTCGATGCAACCCAGAAACAATCAGAAACGTGGCACACAGTATTTAGTTATTTACTCCGGTCGTCATCCGTACATATAGATAGCGAGATTAAGGTCGCATGCACTTCCACTTGCTCATTGAAACCTATTCCGTCGTATGATGTGTAGACTCACCGAGTTGTATGAGTGAGCGCAACACACGTCATAATCGCATTAACTATCTGACAGTGAGCATGTGTCAACGGAACAGCGTACGTCACCAGCAGTGTTGCCACAGTTAGTATGGGATGGGTGACTGGTGTGTTTGATAGCATAATTGTCACAGGCATATACATTTTCGTGTTGACTACCAAGTGGTTTGGATTCGCGTTCTGCTTTAGTGGCGTAAATAATCGCACATTGCACTGACACGCTATTTGTGGTGCCACGTCCCCGTGTAATTGGTTATCAGGTGGGTAGATCACTCGGTGTTTGTCTCCTACTACATCAATATTTATCAACGACGTGGTTGGGCGGTGGGCGAGCGAAAAGTCATTAAGTTTACTCATTGTATGACGCAGTTCAAGCCACATTGCTGGTCGTAGCTCGATATACACGATATACATATATACACGATTTTTACGTTTTTATAACAACTGCAAAAAAACACTGAACGATGGTAATATTGCATTGATTTTAAATTCCAGTATATTTGTTGCATGATACATACTGGTACAACAGCTGTTCTATTCATAGATAGACTGACCCCTGAACTGTAGCTGATGAATCGCTCACACGTATGCAAATAATAATAAATTATTCAATATGTGACTCCAAATCATTAGGTAGTTCCCCCCCCCTTCCTTCTCCAATCCTAACAAAATATGTGAAACCATTTAACGTGTAATGTGTTCTACATAACATAATGACTTGATTACCTCGCCTTGAAAACTCATTTGATGTCGGTCTACATGTTGCCAGAGAATTAGGATTTACATTCACAATATTGAATGCGTGGATATAAAATGAGTAGTAACTGGGACACTAACCAATTTATGGCCAAATCCTAAATTGCTGCGCATGTGCAGTCGGGTAGCCGTTATTTCAACTGATAATGATTGGATTATCATCAGTAAAACTATTAATCACTGGCATATTTCTTATATATTAAACTGTACTGCGCAAAATAGTATGTCACCCCATCATTTCTAACCAAGTCACCCCTGGTTTAACGATTGGTATACCCCTTATTAATAACTGTCAGCTGTTTTTGCAGGCCCACACAACGAGTCGGCATGGCGCCATATATCCATAATTTTCAATTGACAAAGTACTCACATCCAGTGAACACTCGAATGACCTTGAGCAAATCATTAACTTTCGCTTATCGATAATTTTCGTATCCCACTACCTTTAATA